GATGCTTCCAGCTGCTCCGTCCATCTCTTCCTTCTGGGCTTTCTGCTGTTCACGAGAACCACCAGGCAAAGCAAGAACAAGATGAGCCTCGTCAAGTAAGGCATCTTGTGGCTGTCTGGGACGAATCCAGCTGCTTTCCAGTAACGTGCACTGGGGCCAGCACCCACTGGCTTAACCATTGATTCAGACTGCTGTCTCCTGACAGTGCCTTTGTGGTGTGGCAGGGAGGGCCGGCGGGCACTTACTGTCTGCTACTGAAGCCTCTCCTGCTCCCCACCGCCACACACAAGACGGTGACACAACATCCAGCTGGCCACTGGCCCTCCCTTCTCCTTAGTGATTGGCCATTAGTCAAGAAGTTTGGCCTCCTGTGAAACTCTGCTTCCGCTGAACCCCCAAACAGCTTTGGCTAAAACTGTTACATAAAAAATGTAAATCTCTCAAACATGCCAGCTTTTCTGCTGAGATCATTAATCCATGGCTCTGGCTACATAAAACCAGTCTGTCACATCCAGCAGGGGGGTCAGAGCGACTCCTCCAGGAGGAAGTGCACCGAGCTGTTTAGGAGACCACTCAGCACACAGATGACCCCATTTTCAGAGGATGTCTTCGTTTCCTCTTCTAAGAAAATACACTTTGCCTGTGACCAAGGATAGTTGCTCTTCTCTGAAAAACACATCATTTTTCTAAAGACATCAAAGTGTAAAACACATTTTCATCTTGAAAGCTAGCATAATCCAAAATAGGATGCACAATAACTGTAAGCTTGTCTTCCTATGGTGAACATTAAATTGACTTCATTTTTTCATTCTGAGATGTATGAAGTCAGACAGCACAAATGAGGTTTGACCTCTGTCCTAGGTCGTGGAATCATGCACATTAGAAGTACAGAGATAAATACAGTGGTTACCTGTAAACTGCTGAACAGAATGATTAAAACCTTCTCATCCTTTGCCTGCCATGTCCTGGCTACCAGTTTAGTGTGATCAAAGCGCAGGGAGATTAGGAGGGCGGGAAGGAGTGAACAGAGGCAGAAACCAATCAGGGTTTCATTACGAAGAAAAGACAGATTCCAAAGCTTTAAATAGTTTTCAGCAAAGTGGGATGACATAATCCATTTTATTCTTTTTCATGAGATTCCTAACTGGAGTTGATGGGCAGTTGGATAAGATTTGTCCCTAGGCAAGGGAAGAGAAGAAGAGCTGGAACAGACCCAGTAATGAAACAGTCGCTCAGCTCTGGAATAAAATACACTTGCAGGGCCTGGTGGCATGGCCTACTGGCTAAGACCCTTGCCTTGAATGTGCTGCGATCCCCTATGGTCGCCGGTTCCAATCCCGGCAGCCCCATTTCCTCTCTCTCTATCCTCCTCTCTGTATATCTGACTTTGTAATAAAAAATAAAATAAATCTTTAAAAATAAATAAATAAATAAAATACACTTGCAAACTTAGGAGTTGAGTGGGGTGAAAAAGGGGCAAGATTGCAAGGTATCAAGGACTGACCTTGATGATAGGTCTGGTAAAGGCCAACACCATTAACAGGAAGCCAGTAAAGGGAGACACGTTTGGTGAGGCATGACCCATGGGGCTTAAAGCACCATAGAGTCACCATTGGCACAGGTTGAGCTTGGAACTCAGGAGTGAGATCTGGATGGGACAGATGGATGTGGAGCCATCAGCATGGGGTGTGAAGCACGGGAAAGGGTGCGATCTTCCAGGCACAGTGGAGAGGTCCAAGGCCGGAATCCTGGATGATCTGATATGATGGGGCAGCTGGAGCAAAAGCATAGAACCAGCAAGAAGTGGACTACAAGAACCAAAGAGTAATGGTGTCAGGGAGGAAGGAAGTCACCAGTCAGTGCTGTGCAGAGGTGAAGCAAGCAGAGGTGACTGGACTGGTCCATCGAGTACCCCTCATGCCTGCAGGAAGAGTGGTTTCACTTGTGAGATGTGGCAGGATGTCAACTTACTGTGGGTTGATTATGCTCAGGATTGGGGATAATTCAGTATGGGGACTAAGTTACAGTTCCCAAATATGGCTGCCACTCAGAATTATCCCGGGGAATTTGTTTAAAAATCCTATTCTCAAAGGTTTAGTGGTGAGACTTAAAACCTATTCAAGCCTTTCCCAGGTTTTGCCTTTCCTCTCTCTTCCACTTGGAATAAGCCTAACAGGACTGGCTGGAATCTGAGCACTGTGTTCAGTTACTGTTGGTTTTCATGCAATGTTTGTTTATTGCAGTCTAGATACAACTTTAGATGCTACACAGGAAATGAATCAAATCAAATGAGTCAAATGAAAGCTGATATATCAGAAATTAAGAACACAGTAGAGCAAATTAAAAGTACAGTGGAGAGTCTCCAAAATAGAATGAAAGAAGCAGAAGAATCTCAGGATTGGGAGATATTTCCTATTACCAGGGGAAACAAACAAAAAGCTGGAAGCAGAGCTGGGTCAAGCTAAATAAAGTCTTTAAGAACTGAACGACACTATTAAAAGGCCAAATAAAAGAGTTATGGGAGTCCCAGAAGGTGTAGAAAGAGAAGCTGGGTTTAAAAATGCATTTAATGAAATAATAAGGGAAAATTTCCCTAATCTGGAGAAAAAAATGGGAAACAACATGCAGGAGGGGCACAGACTGTCAACAGGCCTGACCAAAAGCGATCTTCACCACGACACATGATGATTAAATTCTCTCCAATAAAACATAAGGATAAGACCCTCTAAATGTGCGTGTGAAAATAAAACAATTGACATATAAAGGAATGACAATTAAACTCACAGGAGACCTCTCACAGGAAACTAGACAGGCCAGAAGAGAATAGAGGGACATATTCCAGATTCTAAAAGCAAAAATTTTCCAGCCCAGGATAACGTACCCGAGGAAGCTTTTCTTCGTCTTTAGAAATAAAATTCTTCCACAGTAAAGAAAAGTTAAAACATGCCTCTTCCAAACCTGCCCTACAAAGGATACTTAAAGATGTTCTCTTGACAGAGAATAGCACCCACCAAAACCAAAGCTAAATATGAAGAACATCCCAGTAAAATAACAACAGAAGACTAAATCAATGAACAACCCAGTGCTAAAATGACAGGACCAAATTACCATCCATTCATATTAACCCTTAACATAAATGGATTAAACTCATCAATTAAAAAAAAAGAAACATGTCCCACTCACCTTTTTCTGTACCTGAGCCTCCCACCCTAATCAGAGGCCCACATGCACATGCATCCCTCCCAACTATGCGAATAGTATTAAAGACTGAAAATGTAAACAATGAGTCCTACAGTACACAGCCTTTTGTATCAGACCTCACTCAGCACAGAGTGTGAAGGTTCATCCACGTGGTAGTTATGTATCATCACTCATCCTTTCCATGGCAAAATAACATTCCATCATACATATACAGATACAAATAGGGTTTATGTTTATTAGTTGGGCCGTTGAGTTCCTAGTTGTTAAGCTCTTAACATCAATGCTGCTGTAATTATCTGTGTAAAGTTTGTGAACACGTTTTCATTTCCTTTGAACATACTTATACATGTATGAGTCGGATTGCTGAATCACATGTAATTTTAATCTGAGGAACTGCCTGCTTTTCCAAAGTGGTTGTGCCATTTCATATTCCTCCCAGCAATGCATGACAATTCCAGTTTCTCCTGTCCCCTGCATACTCAGCTTTTATGCACTCTGGCCGTGCTTCTCTCAGAGTTTGATGTGCTTGCCCTCACTGAATCATGATGTTGAGTCTTATTTTAGACTTGCTGGCCATTTTCAGTCCTTTTTGGATAAATGCCTATTCAAATCCTTTGTCATTTTAGCATGAGGTTATATGTAGTTTATTCTCAAATTATAAGTATTCTTTAGATATTCTGCATACTGATTTCTTATCAGATTATAATCCGCAGATATTTTACTCCAGTATGAGATTTAACTTAGTGGTATTCTTTAAGCCACAATTTTAATGAGACACATTTTTTCATTGGTTGTTTCATATCACAGATAATACACTGTTCAACCTACCAACACAAAGAAATGATCATGTTTTCTTCTATGAGTTTTACAATTTGTTTTTGCAAGTAGGGTTGCAATCCATTTTCATTTTTATACATTGTGAGAAAATGAATGGTGCAATTTTACATTTGCTCAATTTATCTCAGGACAAGGATCAGTTCCAGGAGCATTTGTTGAGGTGAGACTATGGCAGACAACACAAAACATTCGGTCTCTATTCAGGGTGGCAGGGAAGGCGTGGTGAGATATGTGTGCCGCTGAAGACTAGCTACAGTATGAAGAATGCAGCAACACTGGTGACTCCCTTGAGGTTTATCAGCATTCCTGCAGGAGAGAATGGCTAACACAGGTAGAGGCAGTGACCACGAAGGCAAGTGCAAAGGTGTGAGAGAGACCTTTAAGGAGGTAAAATGGTCAGATGACATAAAGAAACTTTAGCCAAAAGCAAGTTACAAATAAAGACACTGATTTTATTGAGCAGCTCAGGCTAGTTCTGAAGGCACCTGTCCGAGCAGCATTCCCAACAGCTCTGAGCTGTGCGTAGCCTCCTATGTGGCTTCCTTAGTCTGTGTTAATGTACACATTGTTCTTTGTCAAAGTCAAATTCATTAAATGCATTCATTTCAATATGCTTACTTACAAGTAATAAAACAATACAGGCTTTTCAGCATTTTAGCAGCCTAAGCTTTTGCCCAAATAATTCCAAATGTGTGAGGTTTACTTCTTTGCGGATTCTGGTAAGACACCAGGAAGTTTATTCATAACCAAAAATAATAAGAGTTCTTCTCCTGATTAGGAAATTTTATATGTCCATAGTTTAGACATTAAAGTTATTAAAAAATTAATTGAGAATCTTGATCAGATTTATTTATTTAGAATAAAACAATGAGCAGCATGGAAATGTAAAGTGCTACATAAAAGCCCCACATTACATAAATTTGAAAGATTCATTGGTTTAAAAAGTTACAGGAGAAACGGACTCTTTTTCAAGCATGCTATTTTAATTACCTCGATACGCAGTCATGTGTTGTGTTCGTCAAAGGAAAAAGCATGAGTTTCCAAAATATCTAAACAGGGGAATAGAGAATTCCCAAACCTAGGAGCTACAGTTTACACACTCAATTTTGTTCTGAGGCTAGTATTAACAGCCTATAAAAATGGAAGTTCCCTGAAGAAATCCTGCAGCAGGGTTTTGGTAAGAATGGTCCCCCAAAGACTGATCTTACTTACAATAGGGGGCTCAGACAATTTAAAGATTTTAGAACATATATGAAGTGAGCAGAGAGAGCAAAGTATACCACTTCCCAACGTGTATACCAGGTGTTGCAACGTCCCGACACAAGCAAACAGGTGGTGACGTAGCTGACAGAGGAGGGGCAGAGAAGGATGTGCACAGTGCCTGATCTTGCCCTGTAAGTCCACGCCGTGGGAACACGCAGCGAGCCGAGTGGGTGCAGAGGCTGGTCCTTCTCGCAGGGGTTGTTCTGAGCACACCATTTCGACCCAGCAGCAGGGTTTCTTTCTTCTGAGGGCATGCTGCTCCTTGGCATTCCAGCTGGGTTGGTGACTTCTTGCTAGGAGACCATGACTTCAGAATCAACATTTCTACTATCTTATGTTCCAAACCAAGAGTTCGGAATGCATTTTCTCATGACAATAAACTTATAAAATGGTGACATAAAATTTCTCTTGACATATGAAGTCTTCATAAAGTCTTTGGGTTTTTTAGACTCTACCAACTTCAGTTACAGATACAGATAGAAATAACCTATTGACAACTTTAAAATGCTAATTTATTAAAGTTTAAGACAATTCTGTATTATATCACAGTATACTTACAGGAAGCTCTTATTTTAGATGCAGACATAAAGTAAAATTGGTTATTGAATAAAAACCAGAAATTGTGCCTCAGAGTTAACAGATTAAAAGCCCCAGGAGTAAAAATCAAATTTGCCTTTCAAATGATTTGATTTTTATATTCCCCATAATTTCAGTAACTTAAAATCACCGGAGAACTTTGTGAATGCTCTCCCTGCAACTATGCATAGGGGCTATCTTTTGTGGACTGCTCTAGAAGCTGAACAGCAGCTACACTGAACTGAAGAAAATCTTAGTTCCTAAATGTGTTTCTAGAATATCACCTATTGGAAAGCTGGGGATTGCTTATATTTCACAAATAATAATTAACAACTTCGAGAATGCCCTCAGTGTTTCTAACAAACGAACACACTGGAGGCAATACTTGTGATTGTAGTGCCTCACCAGATGCTATGATGACAAAAACATCTGCTGGGGTCAGTGGACCTGGCTGGCATGAAGTCACAGCTTCATTTTTCCCACCAAACATTCTTTCTCTTGGGCTTTGATTAGGTGGACAATTCTAAGTAAAGGCCTTCCTAACTTCTAGCACGGTTACGTGAGCCCTGAGCTTTTCTATTAAAATGGTTCATAAAATAGTTCCACATTATACATATTCCTGAAATAATCAAATGTATAGTGATTACAAGGCTAGGCAAATAACACCTCTCAAAAGATATATAATTCAAAGAAGAAAAAAAAACATTCAAATCTTAAGATTTTTCCTACTTAACTGAGAAGAAAAATCAAGGAATTCCTTGGCTTGGACCCTTCTTTCCTTTACGCTCTGGGGAGCACTATTTCTGTCCCGTTCACTGTGAGCCCACCTGGGCAAGGGAGGAACAGCTATCAAAGTGGCTACAAAGTACTTCAAGTCATTTCCAATACAAAGATGTGACCTCATTTCCTCACAACTTTTTGAAACCCAGTTAGGTTCAGTGACCAATGCTTAGGACATAAAGTAACAGAATGGGCCATCTCAGGGTGTCTCCTAGCAATGACATCTTCAAGAAGTCACCTGAGGAGTTCTGTTCTCAGCTCCTCTGCCCCTTGTTACTCAGCACAAGGCAAAGTGTGCTGACTCACTGACACGCACAGGAACACTCTGCCATCAGACTTCCACAGGGCTACAGGGAAAAGGTTCACATACAAAAAAGCTAAAGCCTGAGAAACAAGTTCCCTCCCTGGCAAGCAGATCCAACAGCGAGGCGAGGAACGTGACTCCCAGCCCTGTGAGCTAAGCAGCAATATGCTTCCCTGTGGCTGCTGGACACAGCCTGAATGTCTAGCTGTATTTATACTGAATTTGTAAGGATCGAAAAAGGAATGAAAGGTAAATACAAAATTATCTGTTTGTAAACAATTCTTAGATTATACCCAATGCAGAATGTTTAATGAAGCAGTTGAGTGAGTCACAGCTCTGAAGTCACAAAACAATATTATAACTCAAAGTCAAATATGTACTCATTGGCCAGGTATATTCGACGGAATATAAGAGCTGCCAATGCCAAAGTCAGGATGACAATGAGCACAGCTGAGCCGCCGTGGTCAGTGTGGTTGACTCTGGGCTGCGGGCCGGGGACGGCGTCGGGGGAGGAGGACGGCCTTCTCTGGCTCTGCTGCTGGGCCCGGCGCTGGCGGGGGCTCAACGATGCGCTCCTGGCTGCAGGCTGGGCGGGCTGCGGGGCGGGGGCCGCCACGGGGTTCTGGACTCCAAGCTAGGAAATTTTGAAAAATTCTGTTTGAAAATGGCAAAGATAATTTATGTATATATTTGTTACTTATTCAGGAATACACAGAATCTCAGAGCACCAAACAGGAAGGAAACCTCCCAAGAATGATGTGGAACACAGAGCCTGTCAACACCCACCCACCCCCACCCCCAGCCAGAAAGCCAGGCAGCACCGAGGACTCATTAGGTGGAAGGCATTTGCCAGTGACAAGTAAAACGAGGGCAGAGCTTCCTGATGCCCCACACAGGGGGCTTTCTACCCTCCAGCAGGGTCTGTCAGGTACAAGCATGAGGGCACTTGGGAAGCAGCTTGAAAATTAGCCACATTAACAACAAAAAGCAGCTCTCAAGAGTGTGTGCCTTGTACGAAGCAGGCTTCTTCCAGTCTCCTCCTCCTGTATCAGTGTGCTTCCCACAGCAATGAGGCAGCACAGGAAGTGCTCGGGAGCTGTCCACTGGTCACAGCAGCAGTGCTGGGAAAATCTGGTGTGACTTTCAAACCAAGCTCACCATTCCCCACAATTCCCGCTCAATGAACAAAGCCCAATTGCAGGCAGACCCTTTCCTTCCTACAGGGTATTCTGTGTCAAGAGTTCCTGTGGTACACGTTCAGGCAAGTCTGGAGGCAACATGTGGGACTCAATGTACCCTTGGTTCTGGCACAGTGTTGCCCCTCACTGCACCAAATGACAATTGGCTTCTATCATTGCAGTGACTGGGCAGTCAGTATCATCACATGGAATCAGTGACTCCAAACCTTAAGTATGGGTTACAGATAAGAGAACTGGTAATGGGGCCCGGCAAGGTGGTCTAGCGTTGCCTTGCATGCGCCCCGGGATCCCATATGGCTGCCGGTTCTAATCCAGGCAGCCTCACTTCCCATCCAGCTCTCTGCTTGTGGCCTGGGAAAGCAGTCGAGGGTGACCCAAAGCCTTGGGACTTTGCACCCACGTGGGTGATCCAGGAGAGCTCCTAGCTGCTGGTTTCGAATCAGCACAGCTCCTGCCATTGCAGCCACTTGGGGAGTGAATCAATGCACAGAAGATCTTCCTCTCTGTCTCTCCTCCTCTCTGTATATCCGATTTTGCAATAAAAATAAATAAATATTTTTAAAAAACTGGTAATGGCATAGTAAAGTGATACAAAACATGACTTCTATCTATTTATACAAATACCCTAACGCTAAGCAATTCGTCTGCTGAGTACACATCACTATCAACAAAGACATCCTTTCCAACCAAAATAAGAGTGCATGTTTTATTCAGTTCAGAATAACTTTGGAAACTAAGAATAAAACATTCAAAATATTTTACATTAGAGAAAATGTAAATAACTAGAAGAAAAAAGAACTGAATAAGGCAATTTAAATTCTTTTTTACAAAACTAAAAAGGGGATTTGGTGCTGGCTTCAACTATAAGAGTTACAGGCAAACTGACGATCTCAGCTAATTTGCAGGAGAGTTTGAAATTTGACCCCTAATACAGGTATAAAGGAACCACTGAGTGAATGAGAAAGAAAATTAGAGCTGATCCTGAATTACAGTCCCACAAATTTGGACTTCCATTACGCAGGGCGCCCAGGACAACCTGCCCACTGAAGCACAAGCACATCGTTTCATGAAGTCACATCATCGTCACATCATCATAAAGTGAATATTAAATGCTCATTGAGTTGAAGTGATTCACAGCAGCTAGGACAGAAACGTTCCATTTGTAATATCTCATTCTTCTCATGCTCAGCCAAGAAGGTAAAAGTGCATAGCACAGCAAATGTATTCTATTAAGAAAACAAACACGAGGGCGCTCTCAATCCAGAAACAAGCACAAGATTAAAGCTGCACCTTTACATGTTTTGTTAGGCTCCTGTGACAAGCTGCCTCAGGTGGGGAGCCTCAGCCCATCCCAGGGATTTAACCCACGACTCAGCTCTCCGAGCTCTACAGTGAGGATAACACCCAAATTGGCACTAGTGGTCAGTCGGGACAATGACATAAACTACTTAAGATACACAGCTGCTTGTTAGTTCCATTAATTTAATGTATCTTTCTCAGAGGCATCTACATTTAGGTTGAGAAATATCTGTAACTTTCCCTGGGACCACTTTTCTATCCCTTATTGTATGTATCTTTTATTTATTAACATGGTTAGAGAAGCAACCCCTAGACAATGACTGTAGATGGTATTTTAGCACATATACTTAAAGGAAATATAACACAGTTACAACATTTTAATTAGGTTCCTATGTTGCAGATGCCTTTTGGACAGTATATTATTTACTGTAATCTAGTGCCTTGGTATTATAAAATCTGGGGCTGGCACTGTGGCATAAGACAGTAAGCCAATGCCTGTAAGATGGCGTCCCATGCAGGCACAGGTTCAAGTTCCAGCTGCTTCACTTCTGATTCAGCTCCTTGCTGTGCCTGGGAAGGCAGCAGTGGCTAAAGCCCTTGGGCACCTACATGTACATGACAAATCCAGGAGAAGCTCCTGGCTCCTGGCTTCGAACCAGCTCACCTCCAGCCATTGCCACCATTTGGGAAGTAAGTTAATGGATGGAAGATCTTTCTCTCTTTTACTCTGCCTTTCAAGTCAAATAAATCTTTTTTTAAAAAATTCAACTCTAAAATTTTTCCTATTGAAAACATTAAGAGTCATAATTAAGTCCTCAGTGATATGCGTTGATTTTTTTTAAATAATAATAATAATAATAGTACATGAGAGTTTTATTTGTTCTTTTTACATAAAGTCAAGTGGCTTGTTCAGAATCTTAACCCCTGGGAAGAACAGAAAATCTGATATATTAGAAGAACATAAACTGTATTTCTCCCTTTTTTAAAAATTTATCTACAAATAAGAGTTACAGAGAAAGGGAGACAGGCTGATAATGGAATGCTGCTTCACTTCCCAGATGGCCGCAATGGCCAGGGCTGGGCCAGGCTGAAGCCAGGAGCCACGAGCACTTCATTAGGGCCTTCCACATGGGTAGCCATCCTCCACTGCTCTTCCTATAAACACCAGCAGGGAGAAGGGTCGTGAATGCAAAAGACAGGATTTGGGACCCAGCACAGTAGCCTAGTGGCTGAATCTTCACCTTGCATCCACCGGGATCCCATATGGGCCCTGGTTCATGTCCCAGCTGCTCCATTTCCCATCCAGCTCCCTGCACGTAACGTGGGAAGGCAATAGAGGATGCCCAGATCCTTGGGACCCAGCAACCACGTGGGAGATGCAGAGGAGGCTCCTGACTTTGGATCAGCTCAGCTCTGGCTGTTGTGACCATCCAGGGGGTGAACCAGAGGACAGAAGAGCTTTTTCTCTGTCTCTCCTTTTCTCTGTATATATGCCTTTCCAAAAATAAATAAATAAATAAATCTTTAAAAAAAGAAAAAGGACTCAAACCAGCAACGATGTGGGATGCCAGCACCACAGGTGATAACTTCACAGACTATGCCACAACACCGTCCCCTTTTCTATTTATAAATAGCATCAAAAAGTAACAGATGGTCTGACGTTATTTTCTGTATTTAGACTATTTTCTGTATTTGGCAACCTCTCACTTCCTTCAAGGCTAAAAAGAAAAATGCATAGTTTGATGTGCAACACCTCAATGAATCAGTATTACATTTGCATGTAAGGCAGCCACCTGTATCAAAACAAAGCTTCAATCACTTCCCTTGTTGCCAAATTATTAATCTTAGATAGTTTACATGTACATGTCAGTAAGATTTAACTTAAAATTCTAGATAATTTATTGTTTTTTGATACTATAACAAAAATTTGTCTCAATTAATGATCAATACCTATGAAAAAGAATCTGAAGCCTTGAATAAATTAAAAATATAAATGAAAGGTACTAGCATAATGGTAACATCATTATTTGTATACTATAATTGAACTTGTTAATCTCTTTGACCATTTTCCTAGTATTTTCTAACCAATATTGTTTTAAAATTTACTTATTTAAAAGGCACTCTGACAGAGAAAGGAACAGATCTTCCACCCACCGGTTTACTCTCCAAAGGCTGCGCAAGCCAGGACTGGGCTAGGCTAATGCCACCAGCCTGAAACTACGTCCAGGTCTCTCTCGTGACCAGCAGGGAGCCAAGCACCTGTGTCATTTCCACTGCTTGCTCAAACAAAACAGCAGGAAGCTGGATCAGAAGCAGAACATTTGGAACTTAACTGACACTGATATGTGTGTCCTGATAGGGGATGGTGGCATCGGAGGAAATAGCTTAACCTGATGCACTGCAAGAACAATGTTGTGTTATTTTTTTGTTTGAAATTCAGAATTATTGAGATAGAGACAGAGAGAGCGCTTTTCCATCCACTGATTCACTCCCCAAATAGCTGCTATGGCCAGACCTGGAGAAGTCTGAAGCCAGAAGTCGAGGGCTTCCTTTGGGTGCAGGGGCCTGAGGGCTTGAGCCCTCCTCTGCTTTCCCAGGACAGCAGCAAGGAAAGGAGCCAGTACAGCAGCAGGGGCACAGCCTGACTTCCGTCTGGGATGCCAGAGCCACAAGGAGAGCACTAGCCCACTTGCCACCATGTCATTTCCTCTTAGTCGTTTTTAAAGTACGAATCCATTCAATCAACAGACACATACTGACATGTAGGATACACATGACCCTACACCAGGTACTTGGATTATGATGGGGAGGTCAAAAGTAAGCTGTTAACACCCAAGGAACTTACAGCCTGGGAAGTGAGCTAGACCATACACAATTACACAGTAAGTGACAACTGGATTAGGTATACCTAAAATACATATAACAAGATCTGACACAGACTTAAAACATAAAAAATTTAATATATCACAAGAAACTGGCCTAATAGAAAGTAACAAGAAAAATCACTTTCTCTGTAATAGGATTGTTCTATTTTTTAAAAAAACCTGAAATTAAAAATTAGAATATTTTGGGCCCAGCGGCATGGCCTTGCGGCTAAAGTCCTCACCTTGAACGCCCCAGGATCCCATATGGGTGCCATTCTAATCCCGGCAGCTCCACTTCCCATCCAGCTCCCTGCTTGTGGCCTGGGAAGGTGATAGAGGACGGCCCAAAGCCTTGGGACCCTGTACCCATGTGGGAGACCCGGAAGAAGGTCCTGGATCCTGGCTTCAAATCGGCATAGCACCAGCCATTGCGCTCACTCGGGGAGTGAATCATCGGACAGAAGATCTTCCTCTCTGTCTCTCCTCCTCTCTGTATATCTGACTTTCCAATAAATAAATAAATCTTTAAAAACAATTAGAATATTTTAGATTGAAAACCAATCTAAAAGTTTTAATATTCCAAACTAAAACATAATAACCTTAAAGCTAACTCTGCAATTAAGACAATTACACTGGAGTCATGAGAAAAAGATGGACCCCATTGACCTACACACTTCTCTCAGGCCTCCCCCTTCAGTCCCGCTAGTCCTCCCTGTTGTGGTCCTCCACCATGCCTAGCCCGCTGTTGCACCATGCCTGGCCCACTGTCACACCATGCCTGGCCCACTGTGGCACCATGCCTAGCCCGCTGTCGCACCATGTGTAGCCTGCTGTCGCACCAGCAGCAGCAACTCACCACCACTCAGTCTGCTGCTGAGTAAGGAATTCTAACACAAAGGGCAAGTCTGCATTGACCCAGCAGCGCCTATTGTCATTTTCTTACCCTTTAAAGTCATCCATAAATTGGAGAATTAATTAATAATTGTTTTTAAAAGATGTGGCTATTTAATCAATTGAAAGGGTTAATTGTAAAGCTGCTTGTACTCCTGGAAGTCTGGAATCTCCAAAGAGACACCTGCATGCTGTTGCCAGCACAGCTCTTGCTTCCTGAAAGACCAGGAGGCAGGCAGGAGATAGGGAGAATCTTGAGTTTTGAGATTTACAGGAAAGACAGCTACCTTCGAGGCATGCTGTTTTATTACTGTCAGCACTGAAGTGATATGATCAGGACCCCAAGCCTATGCATTGTAAATTTTTATTGCCTGCTTTTTGTGTCACTATAAACCCCTAATCAGGTATTTGCTCACTGTCACATAGGCTTTTGATTTTCCCATAGATATTTGCTATAAAAACCCCATATATTATTTCGTCTGGGTGCTTCCTGCTCATGGCAAGACGTTGCCCAGGACTGGAAATTAAAACCATTTCACTCGCTATGAATATAAAATTAAAATTATTTCACTCATCTTGGAGTCTCACTTGATTTCACTGCACAACAATCAACGTTAACACAAAGACTCCAAAAAACAGTTCAGTTTTTACAGAGAAAAAGTAGTCATTATTTTCATAATATTCCTATTTATTTAGCACTGATCAAGTAACACTGTTTCTATTAGCCTCTCTGATCTTCTGGGCTCACTACTTTTATATATATATGTGTATTTTATGGGTTAGGATTCAGCAACAACACCTATAGCATTCATCGACTCTGCCAGCAGTTATTCACTGGACACTGCTACAAAGCAGCACCGTCTGCAATGAGAGTAATGTTCTAGATCTAAGTGCCCAGCACAGCATGCACCAGCTACAGGTGTCTGCATATAGCACTTGAAACGTGGCTGGTATAACTGAAGAACCATATTTTAATTTTAATTAAATTTTAATTTACATGGCTATATGTGGCCAATGGCTATTGTATCAGAACATGTCGAAAGCAAATTTTTGGCTCTAGGTCTTTAGTAAAGTCAATGCCTTAATGCAATTTAACAAACTTGCCCAAAATAGTGTCTACACTCTCTAAGATATTATTTTATTCACAATCTTGCACTGAACTGAAACTAACCTTTCAGAGAAGTCACAGAATTCTGGAGGGACCATAGAACTTAAAAATTCTTTGGCTTAATCCTATTTAACAAAAAAGAAAATGGAGGTCTGGAAAGCATGAATAATTTGCTCAATATAATAATATAATTCACTAAAGCACAGCTGGCTCACAATCAAACTGTTAAAGAGAATGAAGATTTTCAAATATTTGGTCTAGGAATCTCCTCCTGTTTCAAATAACAATAATAATGTAAATATCCAACCATGTAACATTAATAACCAAAAGCCATACCGATGTGCTGGCTGTAGCACCCTGGAATGCTGGAGGTACGTCATCTTGTAAACCATTCAGTGACAGAGAGTGGTTTAGGTCGGAATCCTCAGTGAGAGTCCTTCCTGCTGAATTGACTTCCGCCTGTGAACAACACACCCAGAGCAGTGTTACAGGAAGGAGGAAGCACAGAAGGACCCGCAGCCCACTGAATCTCCTCTCCTGCACCGAGCGCATTGGCTAGCTTTATACTTACTATCACTCGGCGAGCACTGGTGTGCCTAACACTGTGCTACTAACAGGAAGGAGCTTACACAATCCTTGTTCTCACAGAGCTACACATGATGAGGGACAAAAACCATAATCCAGGCTTCACAATCCATAGCCCTGAAAAGCCTCCAAAACTTTCAAAGTCTTTTGTGCAGTATTTAGGCAAAGCCAGACATGAATTGATGGGGAGTTATTAGCCATCTTTATCCCATATTACTATAAAGACTCCCGTGTCTGCAGGGGGAATGTGAATAGGTTTCATGTGTGGCCCCAGACTCAATGGCAGGCTAGCTAACAGATGCTACACTTGTTTTGAAATCCTGAACAATTCTGGTGGATGACACACTTGCAGCCTGTAGACTGTCAATGCCAAAGGAAGCCCAAGAGGGAACAAGGCAGCCTGCACTGGTTGAGCAGCCCTCTCCCAAGGCTTGCACACATGGACAGGCTTCAGAAAAGCAGACACGAGCAAGCATACAGTGTTTTAATTCAGCGTGACCTTTCTGTGGAACTAAATAAAGCCCAGGAATATGAGTGTGGCGCCTTAAAATATTAAAACATTGTATAAGTTTCAATATTTGGGCAAAACGTATGCAGAAAAAATATTAAGGAAATATTCCGAAAATATAAGGGTGATATCAATTCATAGGTTTTTTTTTTTCCTTAAGGTTTATTTATTTGGAAGGCAGGGTTACAGAGAGAAGAGGAGTGACAGGGATGGAGATGTTCTTCGGTTCACCACCCCAGGTGGCGGCAAAGGCCAGGACTGGGCTAGGCTGAAGCCAGGAGCCTGTACTCACTCCACCTGGATTTCCCACACGGGCGCCAGGGGTCCAAGCACTTGACCTATTTTCTGCCACTTTCCTAGACACTAACAGCAGGCAGCCAGATTTACAGTGGAATAGCCAGAACCCGAACCTGCACTCATATGGAATGCCGGCATTATAGAGGGCATCTTAACCAGCTATACCACAACATTAGGCTGCACAGTATTTATTTCTTGGAGAATGGAATTAGAGATGACTGTTATTTCCTTATTATCTGTATTTCTATAATCATAAAGTATTTCTATGTATCTATGTTTCTATAATAATATCTACATTTCTATTAATAATCTCTTACTGTCTATGTAATTGTCATATATCTCTATCATATCTATATTTCTACAGAAATATCAGTATTTCTATAAATGTCATTTTTTGAAAGGCAGAGTGACAGAGCTCCCATCCACTGTCTACTTCTATACAACATCCGGGACCAAGCCAGGAGCCAGGCACTCCACCCGGGGTCTCCTATTTGGTTAGGTAAGGACCCAAACACAACCACCTCCTGCTGCCTCTCCAGATGCCTTACCAGGAAGCTGAATCTGACCTGTGGCAGGCAGGCCCTGACCCGGCCTGCTCATGCCTGGCTGTCCTAAGCAGAGGCTGAAGTTACGATGCCAAAACACTGCATCCAACAACTAGAATTTACTAAGCACCACAGCTTGAAAGGAAATACAGGTATTAACTCCTTTAATCCCCACAACAATCCATGAAACAATACCATTACTATTTAAAAATTAGAAAAAGGTGCAAAGTGGTTAAGTAATACATCACATCTGCTGCCACATTATTATTAAGAAGCAAAGTGAGGATTTGACCTCAGAACCCAAGTTTAAAGACTATACTGTATCGCCTTTGTGAATGTAAATTACGAGTTTCGTAATTTCATTTTTCGAAATTTTTCTAAATTCCATTTTTAAGACCTTATTCAACAGGCATGTATTGATTTCCTCTCTATCCAAAATTTAGCAGTGAACAACAGGGCTGCGTAATCACAATTTATTCAGGAATGTATATACCTTAAAACTGATCTGTCTAGCCAATTCCTTGGCTTCTTGGTCAGCTTGGCTTGAATCACTTCCAGATTTTAAAGGCAACAGGACATCCTTCATGGCAGAGCCACATCCTTCGCAACAGAAATCTTGTGATCTGGTAGGAAACAATTTTTTCATGACTAAAAATCAAATAGTTGAACGTTAAATTAAATTTGAGACTCAAACACTAAATGATTAAGACAGGAACACTGGGCAATTTACATTACATTCATCCACATGCTATACTTTAGATAAGACAATAATTGTAATTCTGACACAAGTATATATGTTAGGCTGGCATCAAAAACAGTCCAGGATTAAATCTTTTTTTTTCTTAATTAATTATATGAAGGAGATTAAGCTTCAGATTTACACAATGACAAAACAAATAAATTTTCTATTACACTCAAAATCATACATACCAGGTGTATTATTTTTTAAAAATGATTTATTTCCAGGTGTATTGTAAGCCTGTGAAAAAGTTCATGACAAACCTCAAGCTATCTTTTAGGAAAAACACATAAAGCAATAAAGAAGTCAATTAAAATGGAATTTGGGGCCCAGCACAGTAGCCTAGCAGTTGAAGTCCCTAGATGCCACATGAGTGCCAGTTTATATTCCAGTAACCCCACTTCCCATCCAGTTCCCTGCTTGTGGCCTGGGAAAGCAGTCAAGAACGACCCAAAGCTTTGGGACCCTGCGCCCATGTAGGAGACCTGGAAGAAGCTGCTGGCTCCTGGCTTTGGATTGGCTCAGCTCTGGCCGTTGCAGCCACCTGGGGAATGAATCAGTGGATGCAAGATCTTCCTCTCTGTGTATCTGCCTTTCCAATAAAATAAATCTTTAAAAAAATAATAATCTATTGTATCTTAATTTGCCTTTAAGATGTACTAACTTTTATCCAAGAAGTCAAGTAAGCTTAGAGTCCTGCCTGTTTTGATAGTATTAGTTTTTCCACAAAGATATTATGTTACCGTGGCTGAAGCAAAGTCTCTCTTTTTTTTAAGATTTATTTAATTTTTATACGAGCCTCTTCTGGGTCTCCCACATGGATGCAGGATCCCAAGGCTTTAGACTGTCCTCGACTACCTTCCCAGGCCACAAGCAGGGAGCTGGATGGGAAGTGGAGCAGGTGGAACACAAAGCAGTGCCCCCATGGGATCCTGGCACACAAAAGGCAAGGATTTAGCCACTGGGTCATTGTGCTGGGCCCACAACTGCATGAAATCCTGTCTTCTCCAGATTGTTTACGGAGCTAGCCATTAGCTAGACTGTACAGATACAACATCGTTAAGTGGCTTTACTCCCTGTCCTCGAGTTTTTAATCTCGTGGAAGACTTCACATCCTCTTATTCCCTACTACCTCTAACTGTCCAAGTGGAGACCAGTGACCAAACTGCATTCCAAGGACCAACACCCCCGAATGCAGGAGGATAAGTCTACCTACCACTTCTTAAAAATTCCACAGCATAAAGTCAATTCTTGATTTTCACCACCCCAAGGAAATTAGCACAAAACAAAGAGCCAGAATAATCCACAAGGTGAGTGGCAAAGTAGAAGACAGAACTCATCTCCCAATAGCCATTACCCCAGGAGTAATCAGACTTTAACAAAGAGGGCAACGTAAAACTTACTTTTTCGCAAGTGCTCGTCTTTCCTCAGGCGTGTAGTCTAGAGAACCTATGGCTCCCTCTCCCTTTGTTGGCATAAACCCAATGATGGCTAGTAACGCTGTCCTTACTGAAATGAAAATGCCAAGGTCAGTCTAAGTGGTTCAAAAGGAAGAAAACATACTCTGGAAAGAGAAGAAAAGCCGAGGCTTTCACAGAAGGGGTACTGCATTAAAATGGGGGCAGAAATCCAGACATGTGAAAGCATTTGTATCACTTATTCTACAACATCTAATCAATGACCAAAAATACCTTCAGTCTCCAAAGCACACTATACCTTGTTAGGATCAGGGACTGACCGAGTTAGAGCGACCTCCACCCCTACAAATGAACACTTACTGCTCCACGAGGGTTGCCAGGTTTCAGGATGGTGTCCTGAGATGCTCAAACAAATCTTCTTGCCCACTTCAAATCGTCCATTAGCCTTAGCAATAAGGAGTTCAGAAAAATTGCAGGCAGTTATTATTGTTCCATACTTGTTTACATATATACTTTCTAAATACAAACATATTTTATAGACTCACACATAAGTGATAATAATCTTTCAAAGAATGTAACCCTAGGGGTGCACAGAATGGTTCCTTACAGATGCTTCCAATGTATTTGTTGGGTGCTTAATAATAAAAGCTGTTTTTTGGTGTTACAGCATCCCTCTAAAACTGAAATTTAAATATGAACACTTCTGGGAGGGACTATCCTATGCGTAGTGAAGAGCTCCCAAATAGCTGCAACATCTGGAGCTGGGCTGGACTGAAGCCAGGTGCCTGGAGCTTCTGGGTCTCCCATATGGGTGCAGAAACCCATAGACCCAAGGTCTTCAGCCATCATCTGCTCCTTTCCCAGACCATTACAAGGGAGCTGGATCAGAGTGGAGCAGCTGGAATTCAAACTAGCGCCCCTGTGGGCTGTTGGTACAACAGGAAGAGGCTTAGCCTGTTATGCCACAGCCCCAGCCCCTCAGTAAAGTATTTTAAGGAGAAGACCTAAGAGGCTAGGATAAAATCGAAGGCATGGAGAGAAAGGCATCTGAGACAGAAATGACTTTCAGAAGAATGATGCTGTTTGACAAGACAGAAAAGCCGATCAGAGGTTTTGGGCATGTGTCTGACGTCTCTCTAGGAGAGCTGCTGATGTACCCAGCAGGCAGGTAGCAATGTGGGTACACTGATGTCACACGTGATCACTGAAGCAATGTCACAGCAACAAGAAAAAGCAGCTGAAGTCTGAACTTGTAAAATGTTTTAGGAGGAAACATGAAAAAAGAGATGAAGTTAGAATGTAAGTGCTATATGGGCAGAGACTGATTTAGTCACTCTGCACGCACAAGACCAGTAAGGACCTATGTTTAACAAGTATTTATTCAATAGAAGTTGAGGAACAGGCCCGGCGCAGTAACCTAGCAGCTAGGTTCCTCGCCTTGTATATGCCTGAATCCCATATTGGCACCAGTTCTAATCCTGGCAGCCCTGCTTCCCATCCAGCTCCCTACTTGTGGTCTGGGAAAGCAGTCGAGGATGGCCCAAGGCTTTGGGACCCTGCACCTGTGTGGGAAACCTGGAAGAGGCTCCTGGCTCCTGGTATTGGATCAGCACAGCTCCAGCCATTGCAGCTACTTGGGGAGTGAATCATCAGACAGAAGATCTTTCCTCTCTTTCTGTCCTCCTCTCTGTATATCTGACTTTCAATAAAAATAATTTTTTAAAGATTTTTATTTATTTTTTTATTACAAAAGGACTTCCTCCAGGTCTCATACATGGGCTCAGGGTCCCAAGGGCTGTCCTCGACTGCTTTCCCAGGCCATACGCAGGGAGCTGGATGGGAAGTGGAGCTGCCAAGGATGAGAACCGGCACCCATATGGGATCCTGGCGTGTTCAAGGCGAGGACTTCAGCCGCTAGGCCACTGTGCTGGGTCCAAATAAATCTTTTTTTAAAAAAAGTTGAGGAAGACTTCGTGAAAGAATCGGAACTAGAGTCCAATACTGAATATCAAGAGGGCAGGGCTGGTTCTCAGCCAGTGCGTTCAATGTGACCATCCCATGGCTTTAACCACTGAGTTATCTCTCTATTCACTGATCAAAAGGCGCTGCCACCTCCCACCTCCACCAACGTTCCCCATCCACCAGCATTCCCACCCCCAGGCTGCCTGGCTGTCCACTTTATCGTGGTAGGACAGGGTGCCTCCAGGATCTGCTCCAGCCTGCCTGCCCACAGGCGCAATCCTCAGGAACATCCAATCCTGGCTAAGCTCTTCCAGGAGTCCACAGAGGAACTTTACAGTGTGAGGATCTGCACTTCATACAACGTTCCTTTTGGCAGATGAGAAACGGAATCTCAAAAATATTGTGTAGTCTGCCTGCACCAGAATGGAAAGAGTCCTGGTCAGAATCCAGGTTAACTGGCTCTACGATGATACTCTTCACAATACGTCAAGTCCAGGTAAAAAGGAGCCTGAGTTTCGTACTCAACGTGAAATCATCTTGTTTTACCATTAGCTACCCCATTGCATGTTTAAAGCAAACACAACAGAATGAAGATGGAGAAAGGCTGTGGGACTGAGACGGTGTGGGAGCATTTCAACCATGCTAGAGTGCGAGTCAGACTGCAACAGAGCAAACCACAGAAGGGTGCACAGAGGTTATCCAAGAGGAAAACAGTGACAGCTCTGAAGTGCTAGAATGCACAAAGAGTTTTCGTTTTTTCCAGAAAAACTTTTATGGGTTTCTTTGTTTCTGCAAGGCCAGCAGATAATTAAAGGAAATCTTCACAAGAGAAACTGGATCAAAAGTTATCATTCACATGAAGAAAAGATCTGTAAAGATGGTAAGAAAAATCTGACATAGAACTTTCCCCTATTCCTCAACCCTCCCCACCCTAGTCGGTGGTCCAGAAGGGCATGCATTCCTCTCAACTATGCAAACATCATCAATAATAAGAAATTAGCATGTGGGGCTGGCGCTGTGGTGGGGCACACTAATCCTCCACCTGCCATGTCATCTGGCTGCCGGTTTATGTTCTGGCTGCTCCACTTCTCATCTACCTCTCTTCTTAGAGCCTGGGAAAGCAATGGAGGATGGCCTTGGGCCTTGGGCACCTGCTCCCACTTGGGAGACCCAGAAGAAGCAACTAACTCCCAGCTTCAGATGAGCTTAGCTCCAGCCATTGCAGTCATTTGGGGAGTGAAACAGCAGGTAGAAGACCTTTTCTTTCTCTCCTCTATAAAATCTGCCTTTTAAAAATAAATAAATAAATAAATCTTTTAAAAAGAAACTAGCACTGGTAATCCCATATCAATCCAATGAGGGAAGTACTGTTATTGTCACTATAAAGATAAAGGAAGTAAAGAGAAGAATGTAGGAAAGGCGGGAAGTTGAAGATGATGTAACTACAAAGTACGATAACATTACCCCTGAGAATTAACCACGTGCCACACACTGTGCCCAGCATTTTGTACACCTTAATTCACTGAATCCTAACAATCCATCCACTGGTATCATTAGCCCATCTAAGAGGCATCAGCTTCCCAGAAATTATTTGGGGAGGGAAAATTATAGTCCCAGGATCTGAAGAATTAAAAAAAAAAAAATCACGGGCCTGGCGGCAAGGCCTAGCAGCTAAAGCCCTCACCTTGAATGCCCTGGGATCCCATATGGGCACCAGTCCTAATCCCGGCAGCTCCACTTCCCATCCAGCTCCCTGCTTGTGGCCTGGGAAAGCAGTTGAGGACAGCCCAAAGCCTTGAGACCTGCACCCATGTGGGATACCCGGAAGAAGGTCCTGGATCCTGGCTTTGGATCGGCACAGCATTGGCCGTTGCGCTCACTTGGGGAGTGATTCATCGGACAGAAGATCTTCCTCTCTGTCTCTCCTCCTCTCTGTATATCTGACTTTTCAATAAATTAATAAATCTTTAAAAAAAAAAAGAAAAAAAATCACAATGTTTTACTTACTTTTCGATGAAAATGTGTGTCCTGACTATTCTTTCCAGCCAGCAAAAGGGGTTGATCAATAAGTGTTCCAAAGAGCCAAGCATCCTTACCGTTAGGAGAATAATACTTGGAGGTTTCATGGGATACTCTGGCGGCAGCACAATTCGTCCATGATAAACTCCTCCGTCAAAATCAGAATCTGGAGGCCCCCGGACTGTGAAGTGCCATTCGAAAAGGTTGTCCTGAACAAAAACAACAGTCCACAAGGAGTCAGTAACACTACAAAGTGAGGTTACTTTTACCAATATGATTATCAGAAATAATTGTATTGAGGAAGAAAAATTAAATGCTTTATTATTGTTAGAACAGTTTTTAATATACAGACTGTCTCAAGGATAAAAGCCATACATAAATAAATAAAAGCTGAAAATAAAGCTGCTTAACCTAGCTTTCCTGTGTCATAAGAATTAAAGTCTTTTTCAAGCAAATACATTAGGTTTCCAAGCGGGTGGCATTAAGCTCAGCAGTTAAGATACCCAGCTGTGGGCAACCGCCTAGGTTTTACTCTACCTAGGCAAGTGTTACACTGCTGGGAGAAAATCAGCTAATAGCTGGCGGGCATCCTGGGCCTGGTTAATGCCAAATTTGTGTTAACTATACCAGAGTTGCCAGTGTAGTTGCCTATTCTGTACGTGGGGGGGCAGACACTGGCATGCCAGCAGACAGGGTCTAGGGACCCACGCACAAGTGCATGTGGGCCCTGAATGGGCAGGGCAAGCAGGGCCCAAAGGCAGCATGAATACCACCAGAGGACTGGGGTTAGGAATCTGTGCTCTCGAGGGCATGGAGGGTTGTGGATTATAACGGGAAGCAGATCTGGAGCTATGTGGGAAGGAGGACTGCTGAAGGAGAACGTGACAGGTGAGGAGTGACTTCTGGGGGACTTCACCAACCAGGCTACTGCTGCACTTGCAGGTGAACAAGGGCATTGACATACATGGTTTAAAGGTGGGAAACTGGAGGACCTTCTAAGGCCAAACCGATATACTCATTCACGTGAGAGACCTGAGTTGGGATTGTTGGTATCAACCACTGCCTATAAGCACATGTGAAAGCTATGGCAGGACTCAACCACAGTACCTGCCAGTCAGAATCGGGGCAGGGAATGAACCATGTTAGGCTAGGCCATGACACTAACCAGCTCATGAGAGAACTGGGTCTGGAAGCAGATTTGTAGGGGATCATGGGCTCACCCCTGTAGGACTGCCATACCAGCTGGTTTGCTCGAGGCTGAGGGTGGTGATGAGCTGAGCTAGGCATGACCATGGAACTCACCAACACTCGTGGGTACTGGGGTTAGGAACAGGCAGTATGGTCCAGGCTGTATCATCCACAAGAACACCCAAGAATTGGGTTTGAGACAGGCTAGGCCACAACAATCACCGGCACACACAAAGGTTGACACTGAGGTCAGACTATGCCAGTTAAGGGCAAGAGATCTCGGTATGAGAGTGGGCCTAGCAGAGGAACTTGGAGAACTCCCCTGGTGGGCCATCACTCTAATGGTGAGCACATGAGTCAGGGCTGGGTGTTGGTCAGGCCAGGCCAAACCATAGCATACTAACATGTGAAGGAGCCAGGATAGGGTGGGGGCCATGCTGATGTGGTGTTGGAGTGAGCCAGACCTCATCCTGGCTAGCACACACAAGAGTCAGGCTGGAATAATCTCTGGTAAGGTTTCTCTGTGGATTCCCCAAGTAGATCACTGGACTCAGAACTCCAAACACAGGAAAAATCACAGGATCGGGCCGGCGGCGTGGCCTAGCAGCTTAAGTCCTTGCCTTGAATGCCCTGGGATCCCATATGGGCACCGGTTCTAATCCCGGTAGCTCCACTTCCCATCCAGCTCCCTGCTTGTGGCCTGGGAAAGCAGTTGAGGACAGCCCAAAGCTTTGGGACCCTGCACCCATGTGGGATACCCGGAAGAAGTACCTGGATCCTGGCTTTGGATCGACACAGCACCAGCCATTGTGCTCACTTGGGGAGTGAATCATCGGACAGAAGATCTTCCTCTCTGTCTCTGTTCTCTGTATATCTGCCTTTCCAATAAATTAATAAATCTTAAAAAAAAAAAAAAAAAGAAAGAAAAATCACAGGATCTGTGGTCTGACGGTAGAGTGCATGTGTCAGAACTGGGTCTCCATAGTTGCTGAGGCCTGGGCAGTAGGCATGCTCAGAGGACAGTGACAGCACGCACAGGCATGCTGAGGCCTGTGCAGTAGGCATTCTCAGGGAGGATATGACAACCAGTTCATTGAGGCCTGCAGAGGACGTCCAGTACCATGGAAGGCAGAACAAGTTGGACAACTCCTGCACAAGATTTGACAGCAAGTATCAGGAAAAATCGAGACTCTAAGGTGGACTACGTCAGAAAATGGACCTTGGAAGGATTTCTTCAAACTTGGATCAACAAAATCAACAGCATCTCAGAACTATCAAAATCTCTTAAGCAGTATTTGGAACATGCTCCACATCGGGGACCCTGGGATGACATGGGAACTGATGCATTGCAGGGAGAGGCCCTCTACCCTTGTCTCTCCACTTTAACCAGATACCAGGAGAAAGGAAACTGGAAACAGTTGTCTCCTCCACTTTCCCCCATCCCTCAACATTCCCCACCCTAATCGGTGGTCCACATGGGCATGTCTCCCTCTCAACTATGTAAACATCATCAAAAAGAAAATGAATTTATTATTTAAAACAAAGATGTCTTTTGGGACACCTAGAACCCATCTCCAAGTCTCAGCTCCACTTCTCACCCCAGCTTCCTGCAGATGGGCACCCTGGGCAGCAGGGTCATGGCTCAGGGAGTTGGGTCCCTGCCAGCCACAAGAGAGTCCTGGAATGAGTTCCAGGTTCCTGGCTTTGGCCTGATCTAGCCTCACTTTATTGTGGGCATTTGGGAAGTCAACCAAGGGAGGGAAGATTTGTGTCTCTTTTTGTCTAGCTCTCTGCTTTTCAAACAACAAAATCTGAGTGTTGTTATGTATTCACAAATCAGATTGATTAACTGGAAATAAATTTTTGAAAGGATTTAAATTAACATATAATTCAGATTAACTTTAACACATTTGCTGCTAATGTCATCTTACAATTAACAAGTAGTTTCTAACTTGTAAAATACTTGCACATACATTCTTACAACTTTATTCTCACTATTACCATGAAACCAATTTAAATTATCTCCTTTTATAGATGAGAAGACTCAAGAGAGGAAAAGACATCTGCACAAAACCTCAGACCTGAATGTGCCTGGGGCTTCCAAATTCCACCCTCACACCCAAAATCAAGACCTAACACCACCTTAGCATTGAGAACCCTTGTCAATGGACCAGAATCTGTTCCTTTGAAAGTAAATGAACAGCAAAATACACATGAACCACAGGAAATAAAATGTACCAGTAAACTATATCAAACACATCTATAATGGCTCAAAGCAACAAAAAAGCAAAACAATTTTTAGAAATGTGTTTTAAAGTCTTAAAATATATGTGGGGGAAAAAAAGGAAACTAACCTCTAAGGGCTGTGCGTGGTAATGATCTGTTGGATCTTTTAGCTCCGCTGCTTCTTTCATTAATCGTTTAACAGCTAAAATAAAGCGCATAAATTAGAAACATTTAAAATACACTTTCCTGAGTGATTAAGACAGACCAACAAGCTTAATGAAAAATCTGCTACTTCAAAGGCAAACGCGCAGCTCAGACATGTACAGTGTCAGCTCAAGTAGAGGGTAACTAACAACTACATGGGATGCAAGGGTCAGAAACAAGGCACTTCAAAGGGTCACGCCTTGAATCAGGTATAGAGGGATGACTCCATTTTAAAATAATAAGTACTTATACATATTTCCAAGTGGTGGCATTTACATGCTGTTAATTCAATTCTCAAAATATTAGATAAGTATGATTTTGATCTCCACTTTCTAGATGACAAAACCTAGACACTCAGCAAGAAGACAGTCCGACTGCCCCTTTTTAAAAATGTGCTTCTGGAGTTCATAATCGGTGAATGGTGACGCCCCTCCACAGGACCCTAGCTTCTGCCTCTCACCAGTGGGTGCTACAGCTTAGCCCAGCCTGCCCACCTCAGACCTGACTTGCATATAACCCAGCAGCTGCCATAGCCTAACCTGTTCTGTCCCTTATCCATTCTGACTCTCATGAGTACCAGCAGATGTTGGAGCCTAACTCAGTCTGGCTCATCCCCCAAAGTAAGCCCAAATGCATGCCAATGGGTATGGCAGCCTTGCCCAGCCCAGTCCACCCACAGCCCCAGCACTCATATTCATAGTGGAAGCTACAGTCTAGCAGGTCAAGAGTTCCCCTACTGGGCCTGTTCCCAGTGCCAGATCTTGCTCATGCGGAAAGGTGCTCTGATCCAGTCTGGCACAGCCTACTCACAGTCCCAGCTTCTGCATGCACCAGCATGCAATGCCACTTGGCCCAACACAGGTCTCCCACATGGGCAGGTGCCTTGGCCTGATCCAGACAGACTCTCCAGTTTCCCCTCTAAACCACCATCTCAGCTCCCTCACCTACCTGTGAGTGTAATAGTCTAGTCCATGGACGCCCCCAGAAGTCCTTCCTCCCGTGTCAAACATGCCCTCAGCCACTTCCACTCCAACACGTCCCCAGATTCCCTTCCCTGGGCAATCTGTATCCCATTCTACCTCTGCCTGGAAGTTGAGGTGATGTGTCCCAGTCCGGCATTTTCCACCTTCCCCAAACAGAGTCATAAAGAGAGAAAGAGAAGTCTTGCATCTGCCGGCTCAATCCCCAAATGGTCACAAGGGTCAGAGCTAGGCCAGGCCTTGGCTAGAATCCAGAAGTTTCATCCAGCTCTCACACACGGGTGCAGGGGTCCAAGGACTTGGCCAACTGCTGTCATTTTCCCTGGCGCATTAGCAAGGAGCTGGATCAAAAGAACGGCAGTTGGGTCTCAAACTGGCACCCACGTGGGATGCCAGTGCTCCTTGGCACGGTCCCCTGTCTCTGTAACTTACTTAATGGATGAGAAAAATCAAACCTTTTGTTTAATGAAAAGCTTAATGAAAACTCCAAAGTGCAAAATAAATAACACAGAACTGCTCTGGCTAAACAGGGCAGCACATAAGGGCCTACATGCTATTTTACTTTTCTTCCACATTAACTTACTCCTGAAGGGGTCCTAGGAAACAAGGATTGGAAACCCCAGGTTCAAAATCGTATAAATATCATTCTTATTATTTAATGTTACTTGAAATGTGTGTGTGTAAAATCAGGGAAGCCGTTATGAAGTTTGGCAACAATCAGCAATGAAAAACTTTGAAGAGATTATTTTCTCTCATCTGATGATTGAACACAATGAAGTTGAAGAAGTTACATTTTACGTCCCCACAGTCTCATCACACTTTCTCTGCTTTATCCGTACACTCTACTCAATTCAACAGGAGAGAAGAAAAATAATAATAAATACCCAATAGATATAACTCAACATTACAAAATACATATGAAAGTGCAAGAGTGAATATAAAAATACATCTATACCAACCCTGCAAAGGAATAATCATTGGCTCAACAACTACAGATGTTGAGTTTTTTAGCCCATAGACCACACAGCACATATTGTGTGAGAGCTAAAATCACACAGCCAAGCAGGACGTAAGACAGTCTAGTGTTTTCATAATCTCTGATTTGGCCAGAAATAACATATTAGGAATGTTGTAGTGAAAAAGAACAGGGACTCTGGATGTAGAGCTGTATGAAAATCTGACTGTGACATTCATAGTTCTAAGTCCTTGAGCAAGTCATCTAACCTTACTATGGCTCAATGCTTATATTTGTCAAATGGCAGACAGTCATTTTTTCACTTCTTACTCCTTTCCTTTTCACCCTTCTCTCTTCTCCAGACCAGCAGTTGTTAGCGTGAACAATGGACTGGGATACAGGCCTTCTCATTGTTCTCTCTGGTTCAAAACTACACCCCAGACATATGTAGCATGCTTATGACATGGCTCCCTGGCTCCTGGGAAGAATCACTGCTAAGGAATGGGAAAAGTCCAAAGCGCTGCCTGGCAAGCAGGGGAGAGTGCAGTAGCTCCTCCCGATACACCCCTCTCTTGCTTCCACCTAGCTAGAGAGGACCCCTCACCACCCAGTTCCAAACCATGTTCTGCAAGGTTATTTCACTGACCTTACTGTGGGAAAATAAGTTGTCCCATGAAAGGCAGAGATGACACCTACGGGCCCTCTCTAGTTCTTCCTTTTTCTCTCTCTTTTTTTAAAAAGATTTATTTGAAAGTCAGCATTAGAGAGAGTTTCTACCTGCTGATGCACTCCCTAGATGACAACAACCATGGGCCAGGTTGAAACCAGGAGCTGGGAGCCAGGCCTGGGTCTTGCACATGAGTTGCAAGGAGTCTAAAGATTCAGGGAGCATTTCCCAGGCCATTAGCAGGATAGTGGGTCAGAAGCAGAGTAGCAGGGACACAAACTGGTGACCCTATGAGATGCTGGTATTATAGGTGGTTGTCTCATCCACCATACCATAACACTGGCCCCTTGTTCTTACTTCTTATGGAGGTTACATGGTCACTTTGGGTATGAACTCTGAGCTCCTTGGGCCTAGGCATTAGCATTCTCTTTTTTTTTTTTTTTAAAGATTTACCCATTTTTATTGGAAAGTCAGATTTATACACAGAAGGAGAGGCAGAGAGGGATAGATTTTCCATCCACTGGTTATTTCCCCAAATGGTTACAACTGCTGGAGCTGAGCCAATCTGAAACCAGGAGCTAGGAGCCTCTTCGAAGTCTCCCAGGAACTTGAGCAATCCTCCTGGGCTACTTTCCTAGGCAGGGAGCTAGATGAGTGAAGTGAGGCAGCCAGGACATGAACCATAGGGGATGCCAGCACTTGAAGGTGGAGGATAAGCATATTGAGCCCTGGCACCTGCCCAGGCATTAGCATTCTTCATACATCCACGCCATCTTACTGGATTTCCACTGGGGCTTGAAGCTGACATCTAGCTGGAAATAAAGAGATCCTTTACAGGTCCCTGCCTCCCACACATCAATTTCTCTTGGGACACAGTATCTTGATACCATCAATTCTCAAAGCACACATGAAGCACAGGACACAGACAGAGAACGTAAACTCAGTGTTACACCACTGTCGCTTTGTACTCCTACAGTGAAGGAACTCGAGCAAACATTTAAGATATTCCTGCTAAGGAAAACCCTGCAAAAGATTCAACAAACAAAGCCTGTTATGGTAGCCTAGTGGCTAAAGCCCTCACATAACATGCGCTAAGATCCCACATGGACACTGGTTCATGTCCCAGCAGCCCTGCTTCCCATCCTGCTCCCTGCTTGTGACCTGGGAAACCAGTCAAGGACAGCCCAAAGCCTTGGGACCCTGCACCTGCGTGGGACCCAGAAGAAACTTCTGGCTTCAGATTGGCTCAGTCTGGTCACTGTGGCCACTTGGGGCGTGAACCAGCGGGTGGAAGATCTTTGTCTCTCCTCCTCTCTGTAAATCTGACTTTCCAATAAAAATAAATTAATCTTAAGGAAAAAAAAAGATTCAACAAACACTTGAAAAATGTCTGACTTTTAGAAGAATGACCATGACTGACTTCCCATCCAGAGTTCACAGTGAGTAAAGACATTAAAACAATCGGACCCGGCGGCATGGCCTAGCAGCGTGGCCTAGCAGCTAAAGTCCTCACCTTGAATGCGCCGGGATCCCATATGGGCACCGGTTCTAATCCCAACAGCTCCATTTCCTATCCAACTCCTTGCGTGTGGCCTGGGAAAGCAGTCGAGGACGACCCAAAGCCTTGGGACCCTGCACCCGTGTGAGATACCCAGAAGAAGTTCCTGGTTTCCGGCTTCAGATCGGCGCAGCACCGGCTGTTGTGGTCACTAGGGGAGTGAATCATCGGACGGAAGATCGTCCTCTCTGTCTCTCCTCTTCTCTGTATATCTGACTTTGTAATAAAAATAAATAAATTTTAAAAAATACAAAGGAGTATCCAAGTGGTGGGCGATGAGGTTGCTGAGAAAGGTAAGGGTGAACTCACCAGCAGCCTGGCGCCAAGCCACACAGTTTACTCTGAACGCTATCAGGGAGTCATGGAAACTTTTTCCACTTGACATTTGAAGTGTAATCTAATCACTTTTTGTTTTGTTTTAATTGGCCTGGTGGTGATAGTGACTGATTACATTATGTGTGTCTATGTGTTCACACGTTGTATGTCACATGAGTGTGTGTGCTATGTACTTTATGACAGAATTCGAAAACGGGGTGAACCATGAAATCAAAGGTGACTCCCATCGGTGCCTAAGTGCTATCCATTCACTGGATAAGGAATATTGCAGTGAGGTTCAAGTTTGGGGAAGTAGAGAAAATCAATTTTGTGTTGTTTCCTTCCCCTGGCCAACGTATGGGAAGTCTGGGTAAAGACCCTCAGATCCCTGTAAATTGTATGTATCTATAGCTTGGGAGAAGGGTTGAAGCTGAACGTTAAAGTTTGATAAAGACTGGCACAAAGATGAAGATTCTGGGCCCAGTGCTGTGATGTAACAAGCCAAGCCTCCTCCTGTGGGACTGGCATTTCATATGGACACGAATTCGAGTCCCACCTGCTCCACTTTGATCCAGCTCCCTGCTGGTGGACCGGGAAAAGAAGTGGAGGATGGCCCAAGTGCCTGGCCTCTAGCACCAATGTGGGAGATCCTGGCTTCAGAGCAGCCCAGCTCTGGCCGCTGCAGCCATTTAGGAAGCAGATGGGAGATTCTCTCTTTTCTTCTCTACCTATAACTCTGCTATTCAAATAAAAACAAATCTTGTTTAAAAAAAAAAAAAGATGCAGTTGCCACCAGTGACACATAAAGGATACTCCCTGCATCCTGGTGGAGGTCATGGTACCCTCCGTGCTCCCAGCAGCCACCACTCAGAGCCCTTCTGTGAAAAGCTGCCACAGGAAACTCTTTCTACGTAGGTCTCCCTCCTTTCTACTGTAAGATCTTTCTGTCTTACCCCCAATGGAAGCACGCAGGGACCAGGAAGCCTCATTCAGAGACAACTACCAAATGGCTCATCAGAGGCTTCTAGAATGGCCCTGCACAGAGCTCCACCTACAATCACAAGCCCATTCCAAAAAACAAACAAACAAAAAATTCACAAAGTTTTCCTTCCTATGAAATGAACAGATATACTATCCACATTACTCAGACCCCTAACCAGCTAGTTGTCTGTACTGTCCTTACTTAAGTTTCCCATCCACACTTTTAAGACAAGCCCACATCACACAGGGCGGAGGGGTTAGGTTCTTTACATTGCATTTCCTTCTATATGGGTATTATTCTAAAAATATTACAGGATTGAGAAGAAAACAAAAAGCATTTTCACTCTGCAAATCCTGTATCTCTTCTAATTCACCTTCTCCCCAAATCATCAATGTCAAAAAGATTTATTTTTATTTTTATTTTTTTAGAATAGTAATACCACCTTTGAGGAAATGAAACCCAAGAAAGGAAACTACAAGAACGTCAGCCAGAGCTCAGGCAGCTAACAGTAAGTCACAGCTGGGAGAACCAAGGGCTTCACCACGATCTCAGCGACAACAGCCCATCAACACTGAGCAACATCTTCCGACAACAACCTCTTGGGACAACCTATTTCTTCTCAATTCCAAGCCCGACCACTTGCCCGCATCATTCTCTGAACATTTTACCAACATTTCTCTGTTCTCCAGGAATCATGTGACCAAAGAGTCACCATATGTTTCTAGCCAAATGGTTTTATTTCAATCTACCACTACCCAAGCAATTCACTCTACCATCTGACCTGAAAAATGAAGCTCTTCTTCTGATGGTCCCAACAACCCCCAAAAGCTTTTACCAGAGTGGGTGGGAGAAGGGGAGTTTTGAATCTACAGCCCATACCTTTCGCTGGATTTTTTTAGGGAGCCTATGACTCCCCCCAAAAAATATCATGGGTAATTCTACATACTCTGTCACCTAAGGACATTTCTACATTTAATCATAGCCAAAAGGCCAGGAAGTGATCCCTAGGACCATTTCTTAGTCTAACAGCATTCAAGGCAACTCCATTCAATGTCCTCAGGCTTTTCTAGAATCTTGCCTATTCCAAAATATTTTTTCAAAATCAGATTCTCAGGATGCTAGTCCAGCTGAGTCCTATTGAGAAGTCACTTGTATGGAAGGAAATGTTAAGCAGCTGCAAGAGTTGATCCAGTCGTCACTAATGCAGGATTTATCACTCAGAGCCGGCCTATGGAGTTTCTAGGGTCATTCTAAAGCACCAGAAGACAACTGGAGGCAGGTGAACGACTGAGAAGGAAGCAGGGATACTGAATCCAGGAAAGACAATCTCTGAGACTAAGAGATCTATAGCATCTTGGACAGTTGGACAAAAATCATAGTTAGCTTTCCAGTGCATGGCTCAACCAGGTTTTTTAGCTCCCTGCTTAAGTGGTCTAGTTACTGAGCCTGAACTTCCATTCATACCAAACGCCGCAAAGAAAAGATTTTAAACGAGCAAATCCTCATATGTGAGAGTTAAAGAACAAACAGCTTAAGGCTGTTTGGGAGGGGTGGCGACGGTGCTAAGGCTGCAAGTACGGGAAGGGACCACCACCCCAGTGCCACATCATCTTTCCACCTGCTCTGGCGGATGGGATGATGACCCCAGCTCTCCGCGACGAAGAGGAGGAAAGGCCGAAGCTCGTGCCGCTGGGCGTCCGCAGGTCCCGGAGACTGCAGCGGGTGACTGCCCGGACGCCCCGCCCTGCGGCCTGCACCTCCCCGGCAGCCGGCGGACTCGCGTAGAGCGCGAAACCGGGAGCCGAGCCCCGAGCGGCGGCCGACGTAAGACCGCGGGGCCAGGTTCCAGAAACCAAGATCCTTCCGCCCTGCCTGCCCATCGCCCTCCGGCCCCGTCTTCTCACCCGGACTCTTGAGGTTGTAGCGGGTCTCCATGGCAGGGCGCGGGCCCGGCCTCACGGCTCGCTGCCACCTCCTCTCCGCACCAACGCCGACCAGGTCTCAGCGCGGCTCTGGCCGAATGGGCCGGCCCCCGGGAAGCTCCGCAGACGCTGCCCAGCCCAGCCCGGACTGCGGGCGGGGTGGTGAGGGCGCGAGCGCGGCGGGCGAGGCGGGCGCGGCGGGCGCGGCGGGCGAGGCGCGGGCTTCGCGAAGGCGCCGCCTCCTCCGCAGCTCCCCCGCCTCCCGGAGGGCTGGCCAGGCGCCGGCGGCGGCCCGGGCTTCCTGAACCTGGCGCCGGGGCTGGAGGTCAGCGTCCCGCTCTGGCCGCGGGCCCACCCCCGCCACGGCCGCCCGGCTTGCGTCACCCGCCCTCGTCCGGGTTTTGTGAAGTTGCCCTGACGTGGCAGCCGCTTCGTGGCGCCTGGTCCTTCCGCGGGGCCGCTCGCCTGCCCCGCGAAGCTGAGCCAGGGGGATCTGCAAGAGCCGGCTGCGGCGTCCTTCCCGCGCCCCGGCGCCGGGCTCCGCAGCCGACCGCCCTTCCCCGGGGTCGATGGCTCCGGCCCTGCGCGCTGCGGGCAGGTGTGGGACCCCTCGGCCCTCCGGAGCTCGCAGGGGGTTCTGAGCTCTGGCTGCAAAAGCGCCCGCAGCCCGGCTGCCCCGCGCTCTGGCGTGCCGGGTCTGAGAAGGCACGGTTTGCAGACCCCGTTAGCCGGGTGAGGAGCAGGGAGAATGAGTGAGCATTTTTATAGGATTTTTTTTTCCCTCTTCAGATAATGTGATTCGGTGAAAGACACCGTTACGGGAGATTTTAAAAAAGAATTAAACCCATCTGAAAAAAAAAAAAAAAAGTCAGAGGTTCCATTGAATTTGCGAAAAACAGGACTGGGGCCTCAGGAAGGCTAAGGGGCGCGAGGACCTTGGGCCCGGGAAAGAGGCAGCCTGGAGCGGAAAGGAAGGGATTGTAGGTGGAATAAGTCTTCAGCAGGTTGGGCAAGGATTTTACTGAATATAGAGTTTAAAAAAAAAAACAACTTCGGATTGACTTAATTTCTGTTGTTGAAGTTCACCACAGTCCGTCTGCATATAGTGAATTTAGGTAACAGTCTCAATTTGCAAGTGAATTTCTTGGCATCTAGTAGTCTTTGTAGAGTGAAATTGGAAAGAAAAAAAAGAGAGTGAAGAATATCTAAACTTAGATAGGCTCTTTTAAACCATTCCATAATGGTTTCTGAATAGTAAACTGACAACCAGATTGGCCAAGATATGGCAAAAATGAAACCCAAGTTCCAACGTGCTGCCTGGCTCATTCACGCCTTCTTGGGGCTGAATCTTCAGCTAGTGCACCACTTACCGTTGTCTGCTGCTGCGGCTCTGCAAAGGCGCTGGTTTATGCAATAGCCACAGTGATGACGCAGGTACTATTGTTTATTTATTCATTTGAAAGAATCATGGAAAGTGGGAGAGATCTTCCATCTGCTGCGACCCTGTCCCAAATGATCTCAAGAGAAAGGAGCTTCATTTAGGTCTTCCACATGGGGGGCAGCAGGTGCCCAGACATGTGGGCCATCCTTCAGTTGCTCTTCCTAGGCCACCAGCAGGGAGCTGGATTAGAAGTGGAGCATCCAGGACATGAACCATTGCTCATATGGAACGCCCGTGTTGCAGGCAGTGGCTTTACCCACTAGCCCACAGCCTCTGAAACAGGTATGATTATTCTTATTATTATATCTGATATACATCTAGTGTTTTATTGTTATATATTTGTCCTTCCAAATAGCTGGGGCAAGCAGTTCTGGAAACCTCTCCTGTAGCTGCCGGTCCATCAGTGAACCTCTGGCTGCAGCTGTTCTGTGCCTCTCTGCTTTTCTTCTCAGTGCAGGTCTGCAATTCTCCTTTTCTGTCACCACCACCTTGCCCGACCCGGAGCAGATTTTTCCCACCCTGTGTGGTGGCTGCCAAGATGGAGCTGTTGCTGTCATTGTTACCTGCTCTGACAATGTTGTTACAACACAAGTGGAAGCTTAATTACCCCCTTGCTGCCAGAGCAAAGCCAATTCCAAACATCTCCAGGCAACAGGGACAGAGAGTACAGTATTTAGATGAGTAACTATGTAAAGGTCACCAGATTCTTGACTGACAGCTGGGTGGCAGGGACTGGTTTTCCCGTTGTTTGTGTTTGATCAGAAATAGTCCTGTGTCCTTAGAAGAAGGCGGTCAGCGGCTGGGAGGAGCTGAGGGTCCGTCCCAGTCACCCACATCCCAGGCTGGAATGTCACATTCCCTCTGCTTCACATTCCAGCCTCCTGCTGATGTGCACGATGGGAAGCAGCAGGTACAGGCTCGGGGCTCAGGTCCCCATCAGCCACATGAGACACCTGGATCATGTGCACAGCCAGCCCGTGTGTTGCAGACATCTGGGGAGAGGATCAACAGACAGAAGGTCTCTGTCCCTGCCGCTCATATAAAAACACAACCAAGTAAGTACATTTCCATTCTATAGGGTTTTTTTCCCTCCTTAAAACAGATTCCAAAGTTAACAAAAAATGACAACAAAAGATGGAGTTTAAAGTGCTTTGGATTCTTCAAATCTTTAGAACCACAATCCTTAACCTGCATAGTCCCTCTTTTCCTTAGGCAGTAGTCAGAAGTCCAAAGTACATATTGGAAATATCGTGAGTTTTCCTGTTTTAGCAGCTACTGTGCATTAGGCACTTGATATATGCAGCTCATGTCTTCTTCCTGACAGCCCCATAGTGACACGGGTTAGTTATTCCCCCGTAACAGATGAAGGCAGTTATGCTCTGACTCAGAGAAATCATGTGATTTTACTAGCTTTTCAGTCTTTTCATTCACACTACAAATTCTTATCTTCCCTGCAGATTATTTTTATCACATTGATGACAGGAAGCTTTTCTAGTTTTTTTTTTCCCCTTTGATTTGATTTAACTTGTTTGAAATCAGTTTTACGGAAGTTGTTAAAGCTTCCATGACTTATTCGAGAAAAGCCCCAGTGGCTTATCTAGAACATGAAGGAACAGTGTGTTAAGCCAAGGGCTGCTGACTCTGAAATCTGTGTTTTTCACTTTACTAAAACGAATCAGGCTGTCTGTGTCACATAGCACCTTTCCTCTACCGTTTGGAATCCCGGTGCTTTTCTTAGATCATATAACTTAAAATATTTATCCTTCAAAGTAGGCATTAAGCTCAGCAGCTGAGCTGCTGGTTTGGGGCTCTTGCATGTCCTGGTACCCTGCTGCTCCTGACTGCAGCTTCCTGCTAACCAAGGCCCAAAAGGCAGCAGGTGATGGCTCCACCCATCCACAGGGGAGGCTTGAATGACTTCTAGGTTCCTGGCATACTTGGGGTAGCCTTGGCCATAGGGGCATTTAGGGAGTGAACCAAGGGATGGGAGTTTGGTCTCTTTCCGCCTCTCAACACACATAAAATATTTAAGAGATAATTATTCTTGGGCCCAGCACTGTGGCCTAATGGCTAAAGTCCTCGCCTTGAATGTGCTGGGATCCCATATGGATGCCAGTTCTAATCCTGGTAGCCACGCTTCCCATCCAGCTCCCTGCTTGTTGCTTGGGAAAGCAGTCAAGGACAGCCCAATGTCCTGGGACCCTGCACCCACGTGGGAGACCTGGAGGAAGTTCCGGGTTCTTGGCTTCGATTGGCACGGCACTGGCCATTGTGATCACTTGGGGAATAAATCATCAGATGGAAGATCTTCCTCTCCGTATATCTGACTTTGCAATAAAAATAAGTAAATCTTTTTAAAAAGATAATTATTCTTAAAAAATAAAAGATAATTATTCTTCACAATTTAAAACTTTTCTGGAATTGGCACCTTAGCATAGTGGGTAAGCCACCATCTGTGATGCAGGCATCCCATATGAATGCCTGTTCAAGTCCCTGCTGCTCCACTTCTGACCCTGCTACCGACTACGTGGCCTGGGAAAGCAGCAAAAGATGGCCTATGCCCCTGGACCCAGGGAGGGGGGTGGATTTCCTGTCTCCTGAGAGTGAACCACTGAATCTCTCTCACTCTCTGTCTCTCCCTCTTTGTAACTTTTTCAAATAAGTAAATAACATTTCTTTAAAAACAAAATTTAGAACTTTTCTTAATACTTTCTTGATTATAAAAGTAGCACGTTTGTTCTTTAAGCGTGAAATATGAACAAAATGCAAATCTCCCATAATGTTCTCATTAATAAATGACCACAACCAATTTTTTTATGTGTTTGCCTTAGAGCCCTTATGTATATAGCATTTTACTGTTTTTTTTTTAAGATTTATTTATTTATTGCAAAGCCAGTTATACAGAGAAAAAGAGAGACAGAGAAGAAGATCTTCCATCCAATGATTGGGCCTTGACTGTTTTCCCAGGCCACAAGCAGGGAGCTGGATGGGAAGCGGGGCTGCCTGTATTAGAACTGGCTCCCATTTGGAATCCCGGCACATTTAAGGTGAGGACTTTAGCAGCTGGGCCACTGGTTGGGTCCTATAGCATTTTATTTTAAGAGTCTCAATCCCATGCTAAAAATACCTGACATTAGCTAACTAGATTCCTTGTGTTGTGAGTAGCAATGCTATTATAACTTAGATGACTACATGAGTTGGCTAATGTATCAGCGTTTTCCTAAGACAAAATTTAGAGAGAAAGTCCTTGAAAAAGTAATAAACAGACTTTATTGTAAGCATCTTATCAATTACTTTGGTTGGCTGTTGATTTTTCAGGGAAAAAGCCACAGCAACACTTGTCATCATTGCCCCTTTGGTTTTACTCACAGGTTCACTAATATGGGCTGGTTAAGCATAAACGTACCTTCAAAACTCTGTAACAAAAAATAAGGATAAAAAGATACTTTCAAAGAGAGGAGTTATTTTACACAAGATATAAAAGATTGTGTCTCTGTGATATGGCTTTAAAAGACTCTGGGAGATACTTGTCCTAGAGGCTAGAAAATGTATCAGATATCCACAAGCCATAGCTGAGTGCCTGCACTTCAGTACTGATTGTTTCCAATCCCCAGGCAGAGGCTGGGGCCTCCAGTAGTCTTCTTTCTGCCTCCTACATGGGAGATCCTGGTTGACTTCCATGCACCTGGTTTTAGGCTAGCTCAGTTGGCCATGGCAGGCACTTGGGAAGTGAAACA